CCAGGAGTGTCATGGTATCCAAACTGCCTGAAGCGCTGACGGGATGTCTCTAGGCTAGGGCGGCACTTGTCCTTCTCGTCATCCTCTTCAGCTTTATGGGTCGAAGGCCCCATTGACTCCTGAGGTGGCCTAGGGCCCAGAACTGAGGCCATGCCCACCACCTTGGTCATCACACAGATTCCAGACACAGCGGGACCTTGGGGAGCGGACCTGGTGCCTTTGAACTTCTGTTTCTTAAGGGTCAGAATTCAAACCTAAAAAAACATAGTTTCCATAAAATTATCAAAAAAGAAAAATACTTTTTCTGGTCTTTACCACAGAGGCCATCAGTCAACTACCATATAAAAAGTATTGTTCAGAGCTGGTGGGATGGTTCTGTGGATCAGAGTGCTTACTGCTAGGCCTGACCACCCAGGTTTGACCTTTGGCAACCACACTGTGGTAGGTGAAAACCAACTTCTGCAAGTTGTCCTCTGACCACACACCACACACAAACACATATTAAAAAAGCATTGTTTAGAAATGTTGTTTACAGGAAAATGGGTGGAAATGGAAATGTTATGCAAAATAATACCAAAATAAGTTGAGCATGTTTTGTTTCTTCTATACAGAATTTGAAGGGTGGGAGCAAACATGAAAGTAAACGGGATATGGAAGAGATAAAGGGAGATTGAGAGGGACAAGAAAAGAAAACTAAGAACTAAATATGATTAAAACAATTATATGCAATGTGTTTGTTTGAAGAAGAATGGCTCTACAGGCTCATATATTTGAAAGCTTAGTCACCAGCGATTATATTATCTGAAAAGATTAGGATTACGAGGTATGACCTTGTTGGAAGAAGTGTGTCACCAGGGGTGGGTTCTGAGGTTTCATACAGATCAGGATGTAGCTCTTGGCTACTGCTCCAGTGCCTGTCTGCATGTGGCCAGGCTTCCTGCCACGATGATAATGAACTTAACCTCTGAAACTGTAAGCCAGGCCCCAGTTAAATACCTTCCTCTTACAAGAGTTGGCTTGGTCATGGTGCCTCTTCACAGCAACAGAAAAGTGACTAAGACCGTGAGCTTGTAGACATCACAATGAAGCCTGCCACTTTGTACAATTAATATGTACAAATTAGAAAAAAATACTGTTCAGAATCATTCTGGAGTCAGCAAAGCAGAGCGTACTTTCACTTGATGGACTTGTGTTCATTTTCCCCAAAGGCCAGAGTGGCATAATTTTAAAATTAGATCTTTGCTCTTAAAGTTGTTTCATAAGTTTATAACTATAGGTATCGTAGTTTCTATGATTTCAGCACACTATCTAATATTGTCTGAACATAAAAAAGTAGACTAATCAAATGACTGTCAGCATGAGCATGTATGTCCCAGACTGGAATTAGCTAGCTTGTTAAAAAATAATGGAGTACCACTGGGAGTTGGGGTGGTGGTGGCACAGGCCTTTAATCCCAGCACTCGGGAGGCAGAGGCAGGCGGATCTTTGTGAGTTCAAGTCAGCCTGGTCTACAAAGTACATTCCAGGACAGCCAGGGTTACACAGAGAAACCCTGCCTTGAAAAACTAAAACGGCCAGGTGGTGGTGGGGCACGCCTTTAATAGCAGCACTAGGGTGGTAGAGGGAGGCAGATCTCTGTTGAGTTTGAGGCCAGCCTGGTCTACAGATCGAGTGCCAGGACAGCCAGGGCTGTTACATAGAGAAACCCTGTCTCAAAAACAAACAAACAAAACAAAAAACCAAGAGAGAGAGGGAGAGGAAGAGAGAGAGAGAGAGAGAGAGAGAGAGAGAGAGAAAGAGAGAGAGAAACTAAAATGGAGTATAAGGGCTAGGAAGATAGCTCAGGAGTATTTGTCTTGTGAAAGCAAGCCTTTAGATTCTACCACTAGCACCAAATAAATAAAGGAACAAAAATAATAAAAATCTAATTAGGATGCAATCTGAACTTTATCTGACTTTTTTTCTTAAGGAGAACATATTCAATTGGTTTTGTGTGTGTGTGTGTGTGTGTGTGTGTGTGTGTACATGTATGTACTATTGTACAGATGAACTTTCCTGTGCATGTGTATGTGTAGGTTAGAGGTCATGGCCAGACATCTTCCTGTCACTGTTCCCCTTCTTTGTTTTGAGACAGGGTCTTTCACTGAGCCTGGAGCTCATGGATCACTAAGGCTCGCTGGCTGGCCAGTGAATCCAGGGATCCAACTGTCTCTGCCCTTCTGGTACTGAGAGTTTAGGGACGAGGGGACACTCCTGGGTTTTTACCTGTGTACTCAGGTCCTCTTGCCTGCACAGAAAGCACTTTACTGACGAAGTCACTTCCCAAGCCCCATATCCAAGTTTCTCTTTAAGTGTCCTTAGCTTTAAAAAAAAAAAAAAATTATTTTAAAATTGTGTGTGTGTGTGTGTACACGTGTGTGTGCACGAGGGCAGGCCTGTGGAGGACAACAGTGGGAGTCCCTGGAACTACATACATTTGTGAACTGCCTGACATGAGTGCTGGGAAACAAATTAAGAGTCTTCTGCCAAGAGCAGTACAGATACAGAGTCTTAGCCATGGAGCCATTTCCCCAGCCCCCCCCGCCCCCCCCCTTTTTTTGGTTTCTCTTGAGTAGCTTTGGAGCCTGTCCTTGAACTAGTTTTGTGCTTTGTGGTGTGTGCACCACCACCACCACCACTGCCAGGCTCCCTTCCCCTTTTTAATTGATCAATTGCGCGTGTGTGTCAGGGTGAGGTGTGTGCATGCTACTACATACAGTATGTACAGAGGCCAGACAAAGCTAGCTTGCAAGACTCAGTTCTCTTCTTTCATTATGTGGGTTCCAGGACCAAACTCAGGCCACCAGGCTTGGGGACATCAACTGGCTGAGTCATCTTTTGTGGCACTGCTGTTAGATTTTGAATAATGGGTGGAAAGACAAAACAAATGTGTGTGTTGTTGATATTTTTGACACAGGGTCTCAATGAATACACTCGGCTGACCTGGAACTCAGAACCACTAGGCCAGCCTGTGAAAAATGTATACACAGCAAAACCTTCTCTCAAAAACAAACAAACAACAACAAAACAAAAGGGAGGTGGGGAGGAAAAAAAAAGGGTGGGAAATAGGATAGGGACTGGCATGTTCTGGGGTGTTTTGTTTTTTGGCAAGATTTTAAAAAATCTGATAATAAACTACCTTGGCATACCACCACTTCCCCCAAAGACAGCCAGTAATTTGGTTATGCTGAGCTTACCATTTGGAGATTCCTTCTAGGTCTTGGTTTCTGAAAATTTCTTCAATGTTCATAAAAATCAAAAAGCATGTGGGTGGAAAACAAGACTAATTTAACACCGTCACAGAAAAAAATAACTTTAAAAAAGCTACCTAAAGCTGGTTGTGGTGTGCATGCCTTTATTCCTAGAGCTCAGGAGGAGGCAGAGGCAGTGGGGATCACTGAGATAGAAGCCAACCTGGCCTATGAGCAAGTTCCAGGAAACTGTCTTTAAAAACCACCACCAACAAAACCTAAAGATATCTTAAAGGTTTAACTCTGCTGCCAAGATGGCTAGGTGAGTAATGAGTGCCCACATGATGGAAAAGAAGCACTGATTCAAGCAAATTGTTTTTTAACCTACATGCATGCGTGCGCGCACACACAAACACACACACAGTAAATACAATAAAAATAAAAAGCTTTTAACTCTTGCAGTCTACCAGCAGAAGTAAATAGTCTAGTGAAGGCAGGCTTTTGGTCACTTTCCTTTATGCCAAACGTGCAAAATGTATATACCCCTCTTAATCAACCTCAAATTCATTCTGTACAAGAGGAGGTATCCATAAATCAAAGTATCACAGATAGTAACAAATAAACAGCAATTACTACCTAGTGGCAGATAATGCCTTTAAGACAGTCTGTACTTGGAAACTCCAAGCTGAAGTCATGGTGACACACACCTGTAATTACAGCACTGAGCACTGGAGAGGAGAGACAGGAGGATCACCAATTATGTGACAGTCTGGGCTATAATATAGCAAGACCCAGTCTCAAATCGAGTAAACTAATTTTTGAAAAGCTTCTGGGCAAGCCAGTAATTCTTAGGGGCATAACTGCGCAGTGTATTTAATTGCTAAGAAAGTGTCCTTTAGAGTGAGCCAAATTCTGCATCATTTTAATAGCCCAGAACCAATATATTCAGTTTCTCCTCAGAAGGCTTCCAGCATTTGAAGAGCAACTTTGGTGCCTGTTAATTTTCTGCTCACAGTTCTTTTAATTGTCCCCTTTCAACACAGATTTCCAAGTATGTCACCCACCAAATAAATCTACTTTCTCTCCTATACTCTACTTACAAAAGATCCTTTAAAAATCTGTCCAAACTTGAGCAGATCCCTGTACTGTGCACACAAAGCCCAAAGGGGCTATTTCTCCGCCTGGGTTGGACATTACCCAAGATTAATGAGATTCGGGTTTTCACAGGACGTTCCTAACCTTGGGCTTGTTCTAACAATTAGTCCCGAGTTTAAAATCTCCGGGCGAGAGCTAGGGAAGAAAGAAGGCAGTTTCCGTCGGATAACATGGAGCTCAACTGAAGGAGCTCAAAGAAAGCAATTCCGGAAGGGGAAAAAAAAAGGGTTTTGTTGGAGAAAGCCCTTGGGGGGTGGAAAAGGCTTTCCAAAGAGCGGTGCCTACAGCGGCTGGGCGCGGCGCTTCTCCCTAGACAACCTCCCAGAACCACTATGGACGAATCCCTGGAACCAGAACCGCAGCTGCTAAACCCGTTCCTCCCTCTCTAAATCTTTCGGCCAACGTTCCTTTTCCCCGCCGCTAGGTTAACCTGGGACTCGCAGGCTCACCGTGACTCAGAACAGCTTCGGATCCTGGAACCTGTACAGCCGCCGAACAACCTCGCAGCCGGAAGTGCATCAGAGCCCCGCCCCACGGGAGGGGGCGCAGCCGCCCCTCTAGGAATCGGGGATTCTCGGTATCCTCCTGTCTGAGCCAAGTCTGGAGCTGTGCTGGACTTCATCTGTCCAGTACTTTTTTTTAAAATTTATTTTTTCTATTTCTTTTTTGTTCTCCCCCTCTCCTTTCCCCTCCTTCTCCCTCTCTTTCTCTTTTCTTTTGAGACAAACATCTTATTATGCAATTCTGGCTGGCTTGGAATTCTATGTATACCGTACTGGCCTCATACTCAAAACGAGCCTCCCGTTCTCTCTCAAGAGTAAAGAGCTTGCTGTAGAAGCGTGAGGACCTACATTTGTATTTCCAACACCACATAAAAAGCCAGTGGTACATTACATGCCTGTAATCGCAGTGCTGGAAGGATCCCTGAAGACACCTCTCCTCAAAATCAAGGTAGAGAAGCAACTGAAGATACTTGACATCAACCTCTGGCCTTTACATGTATGCACACACACTTGCTTATGTAAGCACAAACAAAGAGAACAATCTGTCTAAACTTATATGAAGAAACCGGTGTCTGGACAGATCAGATCCAGTGCATACTGGAGTGTTAATTGGTAGCCAAGCTGAGAGTAGAATTCGATTCTCTAATTGTGCATATTTGTTATTTCATCACTGATTTTTTTTTCAATGCTGGGGATAGATCCCACTGGCTTAAACACGCTAGTGCTCCATCATCAAGCTATGTCCCTGGCTCTGAAGATATATATATTATAAATATATCACTAGAGTTGAATGTGGTGGCACACACCTGCAAAAACAGCACTTGGGTGTTGGAGGCTGGGTAATCAGGAGTTTAAGGTCATTCTCAGCTACATAAATTCTAGGCCAGCTTGGCCTTCATGAGACTCTGCCTTAAAAAAACTAAAAACCAAGTTAGCAGAAAAGACAAAAAGCTGAGATAGAACGATAAGTCGTCCATTCATATCATTCATATCCAGTTAAATCAAGTAATTTTATGATGGTCCATTCTTTTTCCATTAATATAACCATGACGATATAACAAGAAAAATTAGTTACTGTGGTTCGCCACATCCATTCCTTTTTCAGATTTTTTTTTTTTGAGACAGGGTTTCTGTAGTTTTTGGAGCTTCTGCTTTCCAAGTGCTGGGGTTAAAGGCATGCGCCACCACCGCTGTCGTTCTTTTTCAGAAATATTTTGATGTTCCAGTGAGTGAACAAATACTTCTCAAGAATGTGCACTGTATCAGGTATGTATTATGACACCAAAGTTTACAAGTAACAAATACACTGTTTGGGGATTGGGCATATGGCTCATGGGTAAAGTGCTATTGTACTAAAGTAGCACAATCAAGGTAACTTATAGAAAGAAGGGTCTATGGTCCCAGAGCCATAAAGGGCCACCATGGCAGCAGGCCAGCCATGACAGTTAAAGTGGCAAACTGAGAGCTCACGTCTTGAACTTCAAGTAGGAAGCATCGGAACGTAATGCAAATGGCAAGTCCTTCAATCAGTAGACAGAGGTAGACTGATCTGTCAGTTCAAGGTCACCCTTGGGTTACTGAAATTGATCCAGTTTAAAAGAAAAAGGTGATTTCTGGCCTTGGTATCACACTCCTTTAATCCTGGCACTAGTTAGGTGCAGATAGGAGTGATACAGCTGGATGGAGGCATATAAGGTGGGAGGAGACAGGAGCTCAGTGCAATCTGAGACAGCAGTCTGAGGACAGGATGACCCCTTTGGTCTGAGTATTGGTAGAGGTAAGAACTCTAGTGGCTGGCCTCTCTGCTTCTCTGATCCTTCAACTTTCACCCGGATAGGTTTTATTATTATGATCAATTAGCATTCGTGCTACGTCTGGCACCCAACTTTTGGGGTATGAATTCATGAAAAAGCCACTTGTCGGTAGCTGCATGTGACCAGAGTCAGCACCCCAGGGCTAGATTTTCTTTTCCTTTCTCCTGGCTGGCTGTGGGCTTTCCCTGGACCCCCTTCTTGGGCTGCTGCCAAACCCACACAGCAGGAGTCAGTCTCACATCTTCATTGTCATTGGCAGCAGATCTAGTGAGAAAACTGGTAATTCTTAAAGGGAGGAATTAGTTAAAGGAGGTTTTCTTCCATGTTAAAAAATGGAACATAATTACGATAGAGTTAGGTTTCTGTATAATTATGCAATGCATGATTTAAAAATGGAAGAATTAAATGAAGGAATAATAAACTTAACTGGGATTGACATACTGTTAGTTATCATTTTGGTAATCCTTGTTAATGTTTTGATAATTCTTGGTTTATCTCTTAAAAAGTTGTTTGGTTTGAGTGCCAAGATACAGGCCTTAGAAAAACTTAATAAAATAGATCATAGAGCTATTCAAATCCAGACAGAGGAATTTAAAGGAGAACTAATTGTATTATATTAGTATTGTATTATAAGGTTAGAGAAGAGCCTAAGGTTTTCAAACAACCAACCTTAATATATCCTGCAATCTTATAGGAACAACTGCCAAATGATAGATATCTCCAAGGCTGTGCAAGAGTTAAATGGACTCCTGTGAAAATATTAGATTTAAGGAGATTCAAGGAAGCAATAGTCTCATATGGCATGCAATCATCTTTTGTGAAGCAAATGTTAAACTCATGATTAACTTGTAGTTGAATTATCCCTTAAGGCTGGAGAGACTTGGTTGCAGCAATCTTGGAGTCTGGTCCTTAGTTACAATGGAGGACCTGGGAGAAAAATGAGGCTAAGACTATTGAACAACAAAATAGGGCTAGAGGTATGAAAATATCCCAAGATCAACTTCTTGGAGAGGGAGAGTATGCTGATGTACAAAGGTAATCCCTATATGACGACCCACAATCTGAATTTATATTGTACAGCAGTTTTGAATGCTTAGGACAAAGTTGGAGAAATAGTAAAGAAAACTGAGTCATTTGCTAAGGTCATACAGGACCCAAAAGAAACCTTCACTGATTTCTTACAAAGTTTGACATCAGCAGTAAAGAGGATGATACCAAATTCAGAAGCTGGACAAATAATAATTGAATCTCTGGATTTTGAAAATGATAATTCTCAATGCAAAAGGATAAGTAGGCCTTTAAAGGCAAGATCAAACACCTTTGGAGGAATGGATCTGAGATACAATCAATAGCGAATCTCATGACCATGATGATGCTTGGATAGGTGAGGTGATTTCCAGAGGTTTTTTTTGTTTTGTTTTGTTTTTTTGGGTTTTTTGTTTGTTTGCTTTTTCAAGACAGGGTTTCTCTGTGGCTTTGGAGCCTGTCCTGGAACTAGCTCTTGTAGACCAGGCTGGTCTCGAACTCACAAAGATCCACCTGTCTCTGCCTCCCGAGTGCTGGGATTAAAGGCGTGCGCCACCACCGTCCAGCTAATGATTTCCAGAGGTTTGAGGAAAAATCAAAATACCAAGTGTTTCAATTGTGGCAAACAAGGTCACCTTAAAGGGGATTGTAAACAGGGGGCTTCTAGAAAAAAATGTGTTTTCTACCCATAATCAAAACAGAATGGCCATCCCTTCCAGATTATGCAGAAGGTGCGGCAAAGGCAGGCACTGGGCTAATGAATGTAGAATAAGGGACAGTCAAGGTTGTTGACACTCTGCTGTTGGGAAACACCTTGAGGGGCTGCTTACAGGCTTCCTCGTCAAATTTGGTTCAGTTGTTTCCTGTCTACGCAGAGGAAACTCGTTCCCAGAGTAATTAAAGAACCTAGTGCCTATTCTAAGAAACCATACTGCTCTGGGTGACAGAAGAGCTTTAGAAGATAAAACAAAAATTCCAGGAGAAACCATAAATCAAAATTGATAAAGATTAGATTAGCAACCTTTCTAAAGTTATGGTTGGGACAGGGTTTCACTTTTGTTTTTTCAGGAAAATAAAAATAAACATCTTGAGGAATTTAAAGATCTCTGGACAAATAAACATCCAAAGAAAAAGGGAGAACTACTTGGAAAAACTTACTAAGAAAAGGAATAATCTGACCTAATGCCATCTCTGAAGTCTCCAAAAAGATGATGGAATCTCACAACGACGATACCACCTGGATTATAACACCACTAAGCTGAAAAACCTATAGATCGGCTTTGGAATACAAACTGCTCAGAACAATTTCAAGATGGCCACTTGGTGATCCAGCCTCACAGACTACTCTAGCCAGGACTTGAGACAAGCTCTGTACTTTCCCATTACGGAGACTGGACAACAAATGATAAAGGTACCTCTCCCAGGACTTAACAATTAACCCAAAATTTTCTTTTTTCAGGATCCCCTAAAGATGCTGTCACCCCCAGACAGCAGGAAGTAAATTTAATAACACAAAGCCCACATTCCAAAGACATGGGGTGGGTGGTTTTTGGTCTTTCATTGGGTTATGGGTATTTGTCATTGTTTAGGGGGATTAGTTACAAGTTGTTTTTGGTAATGGTCAGGAAAAAAATCTACAAAGGAAATTAGGTTCAGGATTCTTGCTTTTTTTTTTTTTTTAAAGGGAGAATACAGATATGACAGGATAAAAGGGTAGAGTATTGAATCTACTCTGAAAAGGAAAAAGGGAGGATATAGATATGATGAAATAAAAAGATTGAATCTACTTTTTAAAAGCAACTACTAGTTTTAAATATTTTACATTGGATTGGACTTTTGTATATTGTATACAAATTTTGTATATTGATATAAATTTAAGATTTTGTTAAAACATACTGTACATACATTTCTAATTTTATTCAAGATATTATACCTATACAGCTCATTTAACAATGTAATACAAATTTCTAGTTCTTGAAAGTTATTATTACCAACTGTTTAGAATAAGGGAATGCAGGTTAGTAATTAATCATCTATTACAATTAAACTTGTAATCATATTAGGTAAGTTTTCAAAATCAAAAGAGATATAGTTTAGACAGGTTGTCTTCAAACACTTCAGAGATCTACAGAATATGGTATTTAAGATGTTTTAGTGTTGGACTCCAGTGTCCAAACCGAGAAGGAGTCGCCCCCAGAGACCACCTCATACACCATAGCTGATGCAAAAGCATGAGGTTTTTATTAATTCTGTCATGACAGGGTCCCTCAGCATTCGGAAAGCCGAGAGACCTCGAATAGCTGGTACAGTCTACTTTTAAAGGAGAAGGCCCCATAGAAACAAGAGGGGTTGTTCCTTGACCATTATGATTGGCTTATTCGAAAAGGGCTAATACCAATAATTGATGGGAGGGCTATTGTCAGATCAGATGAGGTAAGAGGTCATTTTGACCCTGTTTCCCAGGGGACTGAGTCAAAACATACGTGTATGGGTAATTGTTCAGGAACTGAGTACGTGCATGTGTAGCTGTTAGGTCCTTGGTTCCCAGGGGAGGAGGGGAAGCATTAAGGCACGAAGGCTGAGAGGGTTCAGAATTGTCAGAAATGGCTTCAGAATTGTCTTAAAGTCTTACATTAGTAACATAGGTTCTTTTTTTTTTTTATGACACAGAGACATTTCTATTCCTGGTAGCACCAATCTACTTCAGAGAAGATGATGGGCATCGAAGAAACTCAATATGGAGTTTACTTCCTTTGTGGCAAAAGCAAGCCACTGGGCAAGAAAGTGCCCTTGCGTCAATTGCTGACAGTATGCTGTCCTAGCTGGAGAAGCAGGACACAAAAGAGAGTGCTGGGATTAAAGGCGTGTGCCACCACCACTCACCTCCTTTTATTTTTTAAATTTTTTTTTTTTTTTTAAATCTTTCAAGACAGAGTTTCTCTATAGCTTTGGAACCTGTCCTGGAACTAGCTCTTGTAGACCGGGCTGGCTTTGAACTCACAGTTTGCCTGCCTCCCAAGTGCTGGGGCTAAAGGCGTGCGCCACCACCGCCCGGCCTTAAATGATTTTGTGTGGGTGTTTTGCTTAAATGGATGCCTGTGCATATGTGTGCCTAGTGCCCTTAGAGGCCACAGATAGCACTGGATCCCCTAGAACTGGAATTATAGGCAGCTGTGAACCTTAATGGTGGTTCTGGGAACTGAAATTATTCTAAGAGCAGCAAGTGTTCTTAACCTCTGAGCCACTACTCCAATGCTATGTTTTAAATACACACACACACACACACATATCTTACGTTTTTGTTTCCTCCCATCACATCTCTGCAGAGCAAGCAGAGCAGGAACAAGCATACTGATTTAAGGAGTTTGAAACTGAGGCAAATGAAAAGCGAAGCACTTTGAACTTCTTTCCAGAGTTTCTGAATACAATGAGTAAATCAATTATTTAAACGAGGCAAAGTAAAAAAAAAATGCCAATTTTGTATAAGAATTTAGTGGACTGTAGTTCTAATTTAAAGGTATTTTTGTGTATTTGTGTATGCAAACAGAAGAGGGCTCCAGGGTACTATGAGCTGTCTGCATAGGTTCTCTGAAAGACCAAGTGCTCTTAACCCATGAGCCACCTCTCCATTTAAATGAGACAAAGTAAAAACCAAGACTGAGGGCTGGGGAGATGGCTCAGAGGTTAAGAGCACGGCTGCTGTTCTGGAGGTCCTAAGTTCAATTCCCAGCAACCACATGGTGGCTCACAACCATCTGTAATGAGATCTGGTGCCCTCTTCTGCCCTGCAGGCACACATGTAGGCTGAACACTGCATACATAATAAATAAATAAATCTTAAAAAAAAATCAAGATTGAATTCTATGCAAAGCTAAAGGGTGGCAGTTCTACTTTCTAAACTTCAGACTTGTACCAACACCTGTGTTTGGATATGCGTACACACAAATTTGTGCTTGCTGATGCCAGGGGGCCACCATGGGCATCATTCCTTAGAAGCTGTCCACCGTTTTTGACAATGGCTCTGTCTTGGCTGGAACTAACCAAGTAAGTCAGGCTGGTCACCCAATAAATTGTAGGAATCTTCCTGTTCATGCCTCCCCAACCCAGCCCTCCTTTGCTTGAGTTCTGGTATTCAAACTTAGGTCTTGGTGGACTGAGCTATTTCCCCAGCCCTGAAAACCCAACTTTAACATAACCAAAAGATGACAAAAGAAAACAAATACCCCCACACCAAACAATCACTAGGATTGCCTGCTGGGAACACAATTTATTTTACCAAGTCCCAGGAGACAACACACTTGCTATGTACTCCTGCATTTTCCTCTTGCTGCATTAACATTTCATCTGACCTCACGTCTCCTAAAGTGGACCACTGACTACTCAAGTGCACTCTCCTTCCTCCTCTTCTTCTAAGCGCTCACACAGCCCAGGCTGGCCTCAGACTTACCATATAACCAAAGATGACCCTGAATTCCATATCCTTTTGCCGCAATTGCCCCAGGGCTCAGACCACTGGTGTGGGCCACCTTCCCTGGTTTAGGTGGTATAAACGAACTTGGAGTTGAGGCAAGCACTCACCATATGCTCAGCTTTCCATTTCTCTTTTGAAACTTTAGCTTTCAATCAGAGCTTCAACTTATTTTAAAAGAGTTCTCTACCTTTAAGAGAAACAAAGAAACAAATCCAAAAAACGACCCATTTTTCTCCCATTACTTAGCAAAAGGAGTCTTTATAGAATTATGAATGAAGATTTAAAACAAATTCCATTTAAAATTTTTATTGAATACCAACTAAGTGTCTGGACTCTTTAGAGGCTGATCAAATCAAAGATCCAGTTTTTAACAGCAATGATTTAATCCTGCTGACATACAAAGTTTCTTCTTTGGGTCTAATTGATGCTAATATAAGCTGGAAATGGACAAAACAGGAGGTTTTCCTAGCCTATAAACGAAAAGACAGTGCCTGAGTTAACTATCGTGTAGAACTGGTTGTAATGATCTTTAACTAAAAGTTTTTAAAAATACACTCAAAATAATTTTTTTTTGCTTGCATAACCAACCCTAACCCTTAACACTCATATTCTCAGGACAAGATTTTCTCTCACCCACACCCCATGAATTGCAGTAAGGGAGCTGGTAATCCCCATTACCAGCATAAGCATTTCTTTTGGGGACAGGCAATTGCTCTCCTCCCGAGTCACATCATATACCATTATCTGGGTATTCCAGCAAATGTCCAGCTTGGCCATGCCCCCAAGAATTCCCAACTAGGGAATTCTAAGCAAGTGCTGAACCATGTCCTGGGGCCACTCAGGGGACACTCTAAGTAAATGCTCTTTACTGAGCTAAACTCCTCACAGAGGAGTCTATACAAGTCTTACTTGTCTAGTCTGCCAGCTAGGGCAGACTAGAAACTTCAAGCTGTTACCAATTAGTCTTTAATTGAGAGGAAGGTGAGAAAGCTCTGCCCCCATGATAGATCAAGTCTTTCTGCCCTCAGCACTTTCTTAGCAGATGTTAAGGCTATGGCAACTTTCTTGGCCATTCTTTTGTAACACATCTGATCTTGTCCGGGGACTACAGGATAAGTGAGACTCAGTGTGACTGGTCACCCTTTCATGAACCAAAATGACTTAACCCCAATCTCAAACTGTAACAAAATACAAGTTTTGGTCCAGCCTCTTCCAATCTTTCAGAAATCTCATTCTTCCATCTTCAAGCACTGGACCAAATTTACTTAATGAGTGCTTGTGAATCAAGACCATTTTAAAGACCAATTAACTTGGCTAATGACTGTGTAATTTGAAGTTGAGTCAGTTTGTGGAAGGGGGCGTGTTACAACCTACAAGATTTAAAAACAAACAACCCCCCAAAAAACAGAACTCAAAATCACAGCAGACCACAATTCACTGTTTTTTTCCACTTGGGACCATGGCTCAGAGCAGGCTAACCCTCATTCTCTCCATTCTGCTGTTTAGAGCAAAACATGGGATTGGTGGTATCAACTAGGAAAGAACCAGACAACAGGAAACTAAGTTCTCTTAGTAAGACATTAGTTATTAAGTATGGCAAAAGGATTTCCAAACTTATGCTTGACCTGAAGTATTGGAGATGGCTTACCTTACCTAAAACTTCAAGTTTGTTTTACAAAGTTTTGAAAAGCAAAACAGGTATTTCCAGACATAATAAAAAATCTGAATAGCAAAATAACTACTTTAAAATGTACAGTAGTATTTCCATACAAAGAGCAAAGCCTAGATCTGTTAGGTACTTTTCCAACAATGCTCACTGTCTCTAATAGTAGCTGAAATAAAAATCTACCCTAACTTCTATAAGTGATCTATTTAGACCATTTAAGTTTTTGTCTCTGGTTCTATATTTCATTCAATTCAAAAACCTTTGCTTCCCTAATAGGAAATCCAACATATTCCTATTTCTGTGGACACAGGCTGGCTGTGAAGTTGTGATCTGTCTCAGCCTCCTGAGTGCTGGGATTACAGGCCTGTACTACTATGCCTGCCTCCCTTATGGATATACATGTACATAGTTAAATTTTTTTTGATAGGATCTTCTGTGATTCAGACTAGTCTCAAACTTGCTAACAGAGGATGATCCCGAACCCCTGATCCTCTTGCCTCTATCTCCCAAGTACTAGGATTATAGGCATTGCCACCACATCCTTTTGATGCAGTGCTGGGGATGGAACCACACCCCCAGGCCTCCCTCATAACACTTCTGAGAGTTGCTCATAGTGAGTGGGACACAGAAAATGGCTCTTCTGGCAAGCTTGCTGTATTGAGTGTTTCAGCACGGTCACTCCAAGTGACAAAATTAATCTTCCATGAGGATGGCAAGATGAACCTGATTAAGTTCCCTTTTGATAAACAGATCAGCATGCCTATTGGAAATAAAGTTGACAATTCTAGGATAAAAACTTAAATCAATAAATATTCACAGCTATGAATCTTCAAACACTGTCTCCTAAGCAAAAATGTGTCAGGATGGGAGCAAGGACAGAATCTTGCAGCAGAGTCAAAGTAAATCTTGCAATGCTTCTCAAACTCTGAGATAGCCCTCCACCTCCCAACCAAGACAGAAAGGCATTTCCTGAAAAGTAGCCCTTCTTGTGAACTGAGTCCCCACTCGTCTGTGCACAGATTTACGAGGGAAAACAGGACTGTGGTTACCGGAATCTGGGCAGACTAGCTGTTCTGTATACTTCCTATCCTCTGCTGAGTGTATGTTCTCCTCAAACATACTAACACTGGAGCAGCCAGAACCCACCGGTTCCCACTGCAGCTCAGAACCGCCCTCTTCTCACAGACCTCCCTCCCCACAAGCAGCAGCTTGAGTTTTCTTCCCAATTCTGTGAATTCACTGTTTATAATCACATCAGTTTCTTAATTATTCCAAAACTTCACTTTTTTCCCGTGATGCGTTCTGTTCAACAGACTGGACCGCGTTTACAAGGAACATAAAGAGTGACAGGAGCGGTGAGGTACAGAATACATCAAGGTGCCCAAGCAAACCATTTCCGTAGGAGGTTGTACTTGTCTTGTTTACTACTTCTTTAGCCTTTCCCCACATTTGTTTCCTCCTGTGGATCCTCTGGAGTTAAGACTGAGCTCTCTTGGTAGTTTCTGGAACTTACTGCATGACTGGAACAGATTAAGGGAATTCATGTCCAAGGCAGTACTAGGAAGTTGGCCTCACAGACATTAAAAGTTTATTTACAGTCTATGCTTTGCCAAACATCACACTCAGACTAGGACCCATTCTGGAGTCAATTTCTGATGTATGTTAAGGTGTGGACTGCCCCACATATTAAACATGCCAGTCTCTACACACATTTAGCAGTCTCATGTTTATACCTTTAATATCAAGTGCTTTGCATATCAAGTTGTCTCACACATCTATGCTTAGCCTTGCCTACCAGGTTGAAGTAGAAAGTCCGCAACTTTGACTTTTGTCATAAGGTTAAATTTCACTTAAAAAGTCTTCAAAAAAGTTCCATCAGGCCAACTAGCATGCTAATGGTTAATTAGTAAGCACTAAAGCCGGAACAACCATCCTGAACACTACAGTTGTCAGCCTTCTGAACTGTGACACAGAGATACTGTGTTGAGCATCTAAGATGTTTTGATAACCATCTATAGCCTGCTTTCTAAATAAAACACATCTTCAAACGGCTGCCTTCAGGAGTGCATCTGTGGTAGCTCTGAAGCCACTCCAGAAACTATCTACTAGTAAGATGTCCCAATAAAATGGGAAGTAAATGAGGGATGGGGGAGGGGCACAGGTCTGTCTTAATTTAACTTAAAAACAAGACCCTAGATTGGTGGTCGAAGTACATCAGCATGTAGTTGTGTATGTCTGTGTATAAGTGGCCAACAGGGAAATGACCAAAGTCCTTTCTTGGGCTCAAAACCAGTGTCTGGATGGGCTCCCGGAGTACTGAACCTTTTTTCCAGTTGTTTTAGCAAGCCAGAGTTCTCAAAAAGGCCCACCATCACCATGACTCATTTCTTAGGAAGAACCTTAAAGCATCTCCATCTCTGCCTCACTCCAGAGTGAACCAGTGAACCAGCATGTCTGCTGCTTTTCAGTTGGGTGGACAGACACACTCACAGGCAGCACTGTGGAAACAGTTTAGACACCATCACTGAAGTGTGACTGGTCTAAGAAATGAAGTCAAAGAGGGACCAGATAATGATTGCTTGTAGGATTCTAGTTTGACCTGGAGCTGAGGTCACACAGGCACCAACCTGATGAGACCCCCTATTGTGTCTCATGGACTTTTGCTGCTAGTCAGCAAACAAGTGGTACAAGACGGTTTTAGTTGTTTCTTGAGGGGAAATCTTAAACTGTATGCGGGGTGTTCACGTCAACAGTCTTCAAGTTTGTCTTTAGCTTATGTTTCTAGGGTTCTGCAGGGATCTCCACACTTTCATGAAAAGAGCAGTTTGTTCAAGTGCCTGACACCTTCGTAGTCCAGACTTGGGTCTCCTGTATGTGTTAAGTCTTGATTAAGAGCTTCTGGGAAGCCACCGGCAGAGATCTCAGGAAAGGCTAAAGTCCCCTAACCTCACTTTATTCTTTCATGAGAGATCAAAAAGATGCTGTGTGCTATTAAACACAATGACACAACCAACCATACCACCATGTGGTGGTGAACTTCTCAGAGCAAGAGGATATCTTCAGCCACTGCCAACTAATAACAACAGATGCTTCTGCAAGTTTCTGATCAAATGCAGAAAAGATGCTCCCTTTAACTTTCCCTTTTTCTGAGAATTAAACACAAAAACAAATAAAGGAACAATAAAAACAAAAGCCCATCACATCTTCTGAAGAACGTTAGTTAAGTTTTGAACAGCTCGGCAAGTGCTCAAAAGACAACCATTCAGCAGCTGACCGAAAATATTTCTGGCCAAGAATAAGAGCTTTGCGTGAAATATGTCACACAAACAAAAACTTTATAGTGTTCATATTTTTCTTCTGTAAGTGGAAAAGTCATTTTTTTTTTGACATTCTGTGGTATTTACTTACTGATCCATGTTTATAGAGTCTCTGCAGACAGCTAAGCAAGCTTTTGCTTATATTTAGGACAAAAATTACACTGACCCTAGAATAACTTAGAGCATGGCCTATAGCTCTGAAGGTACCATATTTTAGGTACTCCCTATTCACAGGCTCTATCACAACATGACAGTCCTGTTGGAAGTCTGTCATATGGAGTGCCTTGGGTGTGTTAGTACTACATCCAGTGTTGTGCTGTCAGGAACATAACTATATTTCTTGACAACTGAAGCATCTCTTTGCAGGGCGAGGAGTTGATAAAAGCTTCCATACACTGAATGGTGAAGGATTAAAAGATGGTATGTAATCAAGTGTCAACGCGTGGAGGGTGCACTTAGGAGTGCTTCAGGGATGTTGAGGGGGGAGAGAAGAGTCTTGAATTGTTGCTTTTTCAGTAGCACTGACCACGCTGATGATGGCAGAGCCACCCGTATCTTTTACAGTCCTTAGAACTACAAAGTGGTGCATATACCCTCTCTTTCAGAGAGACAGAAATCTTTGGTTTGATTCTGATCAGCGCAGTTCTAGATTTCTATAGCTTTGGCAGGCTACCAGTGATCAGATATACAACTTTCTGGATATATAACTTGCTTGAGCAGCATGTCCCAACGTAGTTTTTGTATTAACTGTCTCTCTTCATTGAGAAATATAGGTTGTCCAAGTAGGGTCTGTTTGTAGCAAGTGGCTTCTTCAGTTGAATATACACAGAGCCGGTCTTGATTCGTATACTCATTACTGGAAAGCTTGGCATTTCACTGTGTGTGCTTTTATCTTGCGTGGAGATATACTAAAGAATATACATATGACTAGCTTTCCCTTGCAAGGACTATAAGAATTACATGCTTACAGACCACCTAAAGGCAGAACACTGTCAATGTAACTCTTAAGGATCCTTAAGTGTGACTTCTCAAACAATTAGATGGTGTTATTACTTTTCCCTTGATGGGCACATATATCTGACATGATTTTAGAAACAAAAGGGGAGAAATGGTTTGATGATACTCTATTGCTTTACACACAGCTTTTCAGGAATGCTCCAAAAGCATCCAGAGAGGCTGGGCTGTATTCTGAGGCTCTCTCTCTGGCATGGATTCTATGGTGCAGTGTGAGGGTTGAGCTCCGGGTGAAGGCCTTGCCACACTTAGTGCACTTGTAGGGCTTTTCTCGAGTGTGAATTCTCCGGTGCAAAATAAGGTATGAGTTTCGATTGAAAGCTTTTCCACATTCACTACATTCATAGGGCTTCTCCCCCGTGTGGATTCTCTGGTGCTTCGTGAGGTCTGAGCTCTGGCTGAAGGCTTTGCCACACTCATTACATTCGTAGGGTTTCTCTCCAGAGTGGATGCGCTGGTGCAGGATAAGATTTGAGCTATGACTGAAGGCTTTGCCACACTCGTTACATTCATGAGGCTTCTCTCCTGTGTGGATTCGCTGATGTAGGACAAGGTTTGAATTGAGACTGAAGGCTTTGCCACACTCGTTACATTCGTAGGGCTTCTCTCCAGTGTGGATGATTTTATGGCGGATAAGGCTGGAGCTTCTTGTGAAGCATTTCCCACACTCATCACACCTATGTGTCTTTGCCCCCGACGGAAGCTCTTCGGGGGTATTATTAAAGTTTGCACTCAGACTGAAGCTTCTTCCCAGACCTTTGCCCTTCTCCCTTGGGCCCCTCTCTCCTGTAGAGGGCTTCTTTTCCTTCGCTGTAGGTGGCCCAGGCTCTTTCTTCTCTTTGCCAGTTTTTTCTTCAGGGTTTCTCTGCTGCCTTTCGACTACTCTGCCCTGCTGTTCACGTTTCTCTCCAAATTCTTTCTGAAATCTTCCTGCTGTCTCCCCATGTGAGGTGGAATCTTCTTTGACTTCGGCCTTTGAGGTTGACTCATTCCCATTCCTGTTTTCAGAACCTGACATGATAAATAGAAAATATGAATAACACCATTTTCTTCTGAAAACAGGTGTTAACACAATGACATCATTTTCTAAGAAGCTTCTATATACATGGGGAAATGACTTCATAGCATTAAAGATAAAAGTAGAAAAAGGGAAAAATTTACCAACAATGGAATGTAGAGCTGGGATGGAGGTGGAAAAATCATAGTACTGGTAAAGTATACAAAGAAGGCCAGGCATAGTGGTGCACACCCAGCATTCAATTGGTTGAGGCAGGAGAATCACCAGTGACAGACCAGTTTTGGCTACATAGCAAGACCTATCTCAAAGTGAAAAAGAAAAAAAAAAGAGTGAACAGCTGTAAAGGATGTGAATAAACAAGCATTGCATGGGGAGGAGTGAGCAGAGACAGTTAAGGAAGGAAAGGATAAGGAATTGAGAAGCTTCAGAGGTTGTTCTCCTATTAAATGGTCATCTGATAGCCAATTTGAAAGAAAATATTTAGCTAGTCACCGCTGGCTGTGGTGGCACACACCTGTAATCATAGCACTCTGGAGGCAGAGGCAGGCAGATCTCTGTGAGTTTGAGGCCAGTCTGTTCTATATGGAGCTCCAGGACAGTCAGGGCTACATAGAGATTCTGTGTCAGGAAAAAAAAAAGAAGTCACATTGCAAGCTTAATTCCAGCACCAAAGAAGAAGAGGCAGGCAGACAGATCCCTATGAGCTCCAGCCCAACCAGAACTAAACAATGAGACCTTGTCTCAAAAAAATAAGAAAATAAGAAATAAAGTCAGATTGCATTTCCAGCAAATATCTTTAAGTCTTACAAAAAGAGAACAGGCCGGGTGGTGGCACAGTCCTTTAATCCCAGCACTTGGGAGGCAGAGAGAGGCATATCTCTGTGAATTTGAGGCCAGTCTGGTCTATAGATGAGTTCCAGGACAGGCCCCAAAGTTACACAGAGAAATCCTGTCTTGAAAACAAAAACAAAAACAAACAAAACAACAACAACCCCCCCACCCCCCAAAAAACCAAAAAGAGAACAGGTAAGGAATTGGTTAGTGGTGTTAGCAGAGGGAAGGCAAAGCAGACACTCCTCAGTTCTGTCATATTTTATCAACAAGGAAATAATTAGCAGGTAACAAGGAGCCTGAACTCAGTAGATTGTGGGGTCCCTTGATGTAGCAAGCAGTTTTCCTCCACCAGGAACAACAGCACAGAAGTACCCAAACTTATGTAACAGAGAAGGGATGAAGGAGCTATCTGGGGATTCATTACCAAAATAGCTTAAATCTTCACCAACTGACAGTTAAGACTTATAGAAAAGAAACAATTCCTGAGACTGTAATCAGAAGAACCAGAAAATAAATTTTTCAGTGTAGAGCTAATCTCTGTATTTTAGCAGCCAGCATATTAAAACACTAAAGTTTAATTTTATTGTACACTACTATATCCCAAGTATCACTATTTAAAAAACCAACAATTATTGTGTGTGTGCGTGTGTATGGTGTTTTGCCTGCATGTGTATATCTATGTACCATGTGCATGCTTGATGCCTGCAGAGGTCACAAGAGGGTCTTGAATCTCTTGGATCTGGAGTTACAGACAGTTGTGAGCTACCATGTAGGTGCTGGGAACTGAACATGGGTCCTCTGGAACAGCAGCCAGTACTCTTCACTGCTGAGCCATGTCTCATGTCCCTAAACAATTCTCAAAACCATTTATGAATGTATGTATGTATGTATTTCATGTTTAGTGTGTGTGACCCATGATATATGTGTTGAGGTCAGAATACAACCTGCGAGACTCAGTTCCCTCCTTTCAACATATGGGCCCTGGGTCTGAACTTAGGTTGCTAGGTTTGGCAGCAAGTGTTCTTTCCCTAGTGAACCATCCCACGGACCCCTCGCTTTGCTTTTAAGTGAGGACTCCAAGAGTGTCTGCACCACCCATAGTCTGAAAGCTATGACTAGAGGAGCTGGTAATATCTGATCCCTGACTTATTGATGAAATCACCATAATCACTGAGGCAACTGCAGAGAAGAGAAAGCTGGTCCACCTCTTCTGAATCCTAAGCAAAGGCCCTTTATTAGATGGAAGTTCCCAAGAGTGTTCCTTTTCTTTTCCTTCAAAGGTTTAGTAGTGATAGCTTATAAACAAAGACCAGTTCTTAATTTCTATTCAGTATAAAGAACAAGTATCTAAAAAGCATCCTTCCCTTCACATCAAACCAAACCTGAGCTTCTCCAGTAAAAACCCTTTCTCTATGCCCACTTTGCTTATCCTCCTTCTGCCCACCCATGGCGGAGATCTTGCTGTGAGATTTCCTTTGGGCTTCCAGTAGCACTGTGTCCTAGGGCTTAAGGTCTAGGAGAGGCCCATGCAACAGCTGTCAGCTGCTTGGGTCCTTTTATCTATCTGATGCCCATTAAATTACTCCATTCTTCTTATCTCCAGCACCAAGAGTTCTTCGCAGAAGAGGACCACTGAGTTTGGAGCCGGGCACATGATCCTAAGGGAGGGCCAAATGCAAGGCTAGAGAATCACAATGTGCATACGGAATAATCTCTATAGGATAGGAAAGGACAGTTACCCAGGGCGGATGTCTTGGTAAAGTTTAGGAACATGGTAAAAATGCTTGGCAGGTTCCTCTACTGGACAGAGGCAAGCTGAAGCACCAGAGCAGAGAGGATCCTCCCAGGGAACTGAGTGGCTGGGGAAACTGAGAAACTCAGAGCATAGAGTTTATTTTTGATTTCAAAGAGCTGAATTACCTAGAGGTAACAAATCTCAAGGCTCTAGGGAGTTGGAGTAACACACCTTTGGGACTTAATGAACACAAACGTTAAACCTTACTAACCAACACAGAAGCAAAACAATCTTAGCAGACAGGAATTCTGCATCAGTCTTACCCTGGGAAAACACATTCCCCAAATTCTCCTGCCTGCTGTCCCTACTGAGATTCCTCCGAGCCAGGTTCTGACATCCCCATTCCTCCAGGATGAGGGACACGGCCATGTCCTCGATCTTCACCATTGCCTGAAATAACAGAGATCCCCATGCTCAGCAAATCTGAGGTCAGGGACAGAGCTGATGGCAGGACTATAAGATACTAGGAGAGAACGCATGGCCAGACTCTGGTGGACTGAAGGGGTTATGGTGGAAGGACACTAACATGGAGGAGAGTAGGGCTTTTCTGAGGGCTGGCACAAGACCTGATAGAGGCTTATGAGACATGCTCCAGAAGGGGCAGATACAGGGCCTCAGGAGGGAAGAGGGGCCCATGGCTCACCTGGGAATCTGCGGTCAATAGTGCAGATGCCATCGCCTGGTCTCTAGGATTCCCCTCATGATGAGGGGCAGGAACGTGGGTGGCGGGGAGAGCTGAGGAGGAGAAAGGGGCTGTGAGTAGAACAGCTCTTCTTTGAGTCTCCCTCAGCAAAGAGCCCTGACATTCTCCTTCTTATACCAGCATATTCACTGTTTGATGTTAGCCACTAAAAAGACAGCCCACAGGATTTGTTGATAGGAAGCAAGACTTCAGCTTCCCAGAGACCTCCACCCTTAAACCGGAACTACACGAAACTCATACAAGGGTCCTTAAAATCACCAGATCCAAACTTTAAAAGGAGAAAATAAAGCCCTGAAGAGGGTAATAACTCTGCAACGTTGCTCAGTTTAGAATGGCGGGTCCGGTTCAAAACCCAGCTCCTATTCTCAGTTTTAGACAGTAACTTCAAGTTTGGCTTGTGTTTTCTTCCAGCACAAGAACAGCACCAGGGCACTAGACCCCCCCCCCCCTTCTGCCTACACTTGTGAACAACGCGACTTCAAGACCACAGGAGCACTGAGCACGACAGGGGAAGAAGGACCTTCATACTTCTAAGTACATTTCTGCCATTCAGACCCTGTCCCCCACCTTTTATCTGGCCACGGTAGCTGTTTGATAGAACAAATACACTATGTTCAGATGTTAATGAGACAAGCAAATGTAGAAAGGTACGGGTCAACACATAATAAAAGGCAACAGTAACATAGCATAGACTATCAACTGGATGCAATGAGTAACAAGAATAAAAAAAAATAAACTGTAATATTAAAATTTCTCATTTCCCCTTCCTTTGTCAAGCCTCGTTACAGGCAGACAGAGGATGGTGCCAGGCAACCTGCAAAGGACCACAGAAACAGAGCACTCCATCCCTACACTCCTAGTCGTTCCCCCCTGTGAGGTGAGACACACACAAGAACAAGACACTAACACTTAGGCCTTCGCAGAGTCAGGAAACAGTGGAAGATGAACAAGAAAGAGAGGAAACTGAGAACAAATCCTTGTCTCAATTCATTCAAGAACAATTTAGTAAACGCTAACTCTAGCTGTGGTCTCTAAAACCACGTTCCAAGCTACCCGAAGCAACAATCTGATGCTCAGACACTGAGTGATCTCTCCAGCTGACACCTAATAACACCACTGTGCCTGCAGGCCAGAAAAGGGTATCAGATTTCCTGAAGCAGAAGTTATAGGCAGTTGTGAGTGGCCTGAGACAGGTGAACACTGGTCCTCTGTAAGGAAGGAGATCTTTCTGATAGTCTATGCACCTGTTTTATTTTAAACTCAGATAAAAAATATTATCTGCCGGGTGGGTGATGGTGGCACACACCTTTAATCCCAGCACTTGGGAGTCAGAGGCAGGTGGATCTCTGTGAGTTTGGTCTACAGAGCAAGTTCCAGGACAGCCAGAGCTACACATAGAGAAACCCTGTGTAGAAAAACCAAAAAGCAAGCAAACAAACAAAAAATCCAACTCTATTTCTGTAAAGTGGGCTGGGGAGCCATCCAAATGCAATAGATTTTTATAGAAATCCTAAACTAGCATTGTTCTCATTTCCTCATTCAAAAAGAAAAAAAAATGTTCCTATTCTCTTCCCTTTGAAAAATTTAAAAGTAACTTTTTAGAGAATGTTATAAAACATCTTATATATTTAGATTAAATAAATAAATAGATGTTTAGCAGCCAGCACTACACTAAAGCATGTCAAAACTGAGGCAGGATTGGGAGTTAGAAGCCAGCCTTGGGCTACATAGCAAGATCTTGTGTCAAAACAAACCATTAAGGCTGGAAATAATAAACCATGTGTTTTAATGCCCTCCACTCAGAACTCTGCTGGACATCTGGAGTGTACACAGTTCAACACATGATGTAATGCTCACCGAGTACATGATAGTCCACTTACCTCCTTAGTAAACAACATTCAGTCTAAGATCGGTCTGTGAGCTATGTTGTAATAATAATAGGCATAATAACCAAACAAGCATGCTTCTTTATGGAGTTACCTGGGAACACGGAAAGAAGTACTTCCATCTTAGACCATTTATTTGTCCCCTTCTCCCCACCTTTTTGTTCATTTGTTTGTTTTTCAAGATAAGGTTTCACTGTGTAACAGTCTTGGCTGTCCTGGAACTGGCCTTGAACTCTGTTTGCCTCTGCCTCCCCAGCATTCCCATCTCTTTTTTTAAGAGGGGGAGCAGACAAGGGCTCATCCTCTCATTGACCTGGGCTGACCTCAAACTTGCTGTGTAGTTGAGAATAGCCTTGAAATTCTGTAGTTTCATGTTACAGTGCGCACCATGCCTGCTTTTTTGTTTTTAGGGTCTCACTAGGTGGCCATGGTGACCTGGAACTCACTATGTATGCAGGGCTGTCCTTAAACTCAGAGAGCCAACTGCTTCTATCTCCAGAAGGAGAGTGCCACCATGCCTTGTTTCATGCAGTGCTGGGGAATGGAACACAGTGCTGCATGGATGACAGTCAAGCACTCTACCAACTAAGCCGCACCTCTAACCTTCACATTTATGTCTGTCTCTTCTACACATGAACCCAGCTTCTTACCTCGGGATGGCAGGAGGCGAGGCTTCCGAGATGAATGCTTGAAATGAGGGTGGGTAGCTTCGTGACGGCTAAAGCTTGAGGACTCCTGAACCGGATCCAGAGGCACAATTCCCCTGGCAAGCATCTCAGGCCCATGAACTTGACCCGGGACCTAGGGTGATGAAAACAGTTTCTGGATAAACTTCTGGTTGGCCATGACTCATAATCCTCCTGCTTCAGCATCTCAAGTGCTAGGTTTACATGCATGAAGCATCATGCCTGGCCTGGTAAACTGCTTTTAAGACAGGAATTGGAACACTAAAGGAAGGGCTCTAAGTATGCCAATGGATGCTGGAAGGAGGCAAGCAGAACACTGTCCCTTGTTTCCTTCCTTCCTCCTATGGTCATGCAGGGAGCCCAGAGCTTCACAGATGCCATGCGCATGCTCTAGAACTGAGCTATACTGCCCAGCCGCCAGAACTCTTTCAAAGAGCACAGGGGGCAAGGGAGCAAGGACAGCTGCCCCCAACATTCCCCTCTGAGTCCACTCCTAAGTCTATGCCCTTCTTACACACAACAGGCACCCTCTTTTCACCTGCTGTCCCGAAATATCAAGCTCCAAGTCTTCCAGAAGAGTCACGGCTTCCTCTCCGCTGTCAGGCCGGTACTCCTGCAGCCAGACTTGCAGCTCTTTGGGCAGGATGGACAGGAACTGCTCCAGCACCAGCAGCTCCAGGATCTGCTCCTTGGTGTTGACTTCAGGTCGAAGCCATTGGTGACAAAGTTCCTTCAGTCGATTCAGTGCTTCTCGAGGCCCAAAAGTGTTCTGGTAACAGAAGCGCCTGAACCGCTGGCGGAATACCTCTGGGTCGTGTGGGGGAGTCTCCTGCAGACTGGAGTCCTGCCCCCACATGTGATCTTCCTCATCTTCTTCTTCCACCTTCACAATAACGATCCCGTCCTTCTCCTGTGCAGCCTGTGGGGACAGACCCGTGGCTTCCCTTGACTCAGCAGTCATCATTCAGACTCGGGGAGCTGGTGGGGTCCAGCAGGGCCAGGCTGCGCTTCTGTCCTAGCGGCAGTTCTCTATTGGTCTCTCCACTAGTACTAAAGTTAAAAAAAAAAGGGGGGGGGAAGACATGTTTTAAAACGTGACTGGGAAGCAGGGGAAAGTGGGTCTAGCATTCCTGGGTGAGCTCCAGGCTAGTGGGAGACACTGCCTCAAAAGCTGAGGTAGGCACTCATCTTTAATCTCAGCACTCAGGAGGCAGAGGCACGTGAATCTCTGTGAGTTTGAGGCTAGCCTGGTCTACAGAGCGAGTTCCAGGACAGCCAAGATTACACAAAGAAACCTGGTCTTGAAAAAAGAAAGAAAGCAAGCAAGCAAGAAACTGAGGCAGACAACACTGAGGAATACTACCTGTGGCTGTCCTCTGATCCCCATATGTAGCCCCACACACAAGAATGCTTACACACAAAGTGACCTGTGTTACTAACCCTTCATACAAGGCTACACATCAAGGAGATGTCCTCTAAACATAAAGGAGAACACCACCACAGAGCTACATTGGTCTTGGTGTCACTTCTAATATTAAGGTTTGCAAACAGAAGCCTTTAACAGGTGGCCTCTAACTCAGGGTGTTTGCCTACTGTCAAAGCAATGTCCTTAGTCCAGCGAGTGCCAAAGGCCAGGCTAAGCATAGCACATGTACATACATACCACTTACCTTACCACTGCTCAAGCCTAGCAGACAAAAAAATATTAGTATCTGTATGCAGATGATATAACTGAGGTTTAGAACACTTAATACTCTCAGCAGCAGATGTGGACCTAACACTGAAGTCAAATTTGAAGACGGGCAGGGGACTTGCGAATGCACCACTTAGCTACCTTTATTGCTTTATGAGTGCTGTGGTGGGCCTAAGGCTGCAGTTTCCACATACAATACAGAAAGCAGGATCACAGCAACTGCATTATATCAGTGAGGGCTGGGGACCTGGCACCGTTGGCAGAGCACCTGCATGCACACATGAGGCCATGGGTTCACTCTACAACTTTGCATAAGCCAGGTTTAAGGGCACACACTTGTAATCTTAGTGTCTAGGACCATCAGGAGTTCAAAGTCATTCTCAGCTATGTGGCACTTTCAGAGTTAGTGTGGGATACCTGAGACCTCTTTGAGAGAGAAAGGGATAGAGGAGGAGGGGAGAGGGAAAGAGAAAGAGAAGGGAAGAGGGAGATGGGGTTTGTAGGAACAGGCAGGTGCAGAAGCCTATAATCTGAGAACTTGAGAGGCAGAGGCAAGAGAATCAAGAATTCAACCTTAGAACAGTTTCAGATAAGTCTGGGCAGTAAGCAAATATCTTAAAAACAAAAACCAAATGCTGGGCAGGGTGGCTTACACCTTTAATCCCAGCACTCAGGAGGCCAAGGCAGGTGGATCTCTGAGTTCATGGTCTGTCTGGTCTATACAGAGAACCCCTGTCTCAGAAAACCAAAAAGAAGTGAGATAAGTTAAGTCATATTTCAATCTACAAGATATCACTTGGTCTAAATGGGGAGCTGTCACATGTCATACTAGGTACCTTACATCCCAAGGGAAGAACCTCTCCTCTCAACTTGCTTGTTCAGTTTTAAAAAAATAATGAATTAGAATTTTTTTTTTGGTAGGTAACTGGTTTTAAAGAGTCTTATTTTAACTCAAATATGTGCATGCCACAGTGAGCTACAGGAGGTCAGAGGGCAACTTGCAAGTCTCCTTCTACCACGTGGGTCTGGAGGACTGAACTCAGGACCAGGCTAGATGGCAAGCACCTTTACTTGCTAAGCCATCACACTAGCTCTCGGTGGCTGTTTTGAACAATCTCCGCATGCTGTGTTTTCAGGTGTCTCAGTTCAGTGACAATTTCTATCCATCCCAATACACACAACACACAAAGGTTAGCAGCTAGTATTGTTTAGAACTCTTTTGCGTCCCCCAATTACTGTCTCTGAACCTCTGATACATAGCATTTAGCTTTTGAGGGCCTCCACCTTGAGAATACACTCCACCCCTCTATTCCAGCACTACTGTCCTCTTTGTGCATCCCCTTATTTCTAGTTATATGGATCCAAGCATGGGTCATAGCAACATCTTCACACTGGCTGTGAACAACTCCCACTCCATTTATTAACTCTGTCAGCCAATGTTTTACTCACCAAAGATGACATTGCCTTCTGATTAGTCTACCTTAAACAAGGAGATGGGGAGTTGAGCAGACATGGGGAGAACCCTCCCTGATATTTTAGTTCCCCTTCCACCCTCTTCTTGACCAGTGAGAGTAGCCCTGGGAGATATTCCCCTAGTATCTCACCTGCAGAGTCTTAAATTAACACCTCATCTTCTTTGACTCCTCCGTCCTCAAATGTACTGACTCTTCCAGAACCAGAACGAATTGTTATTGTTATTATTATTTTCATTTTTTGAGACAGGGTTTCTCTGTGTAACAGTTCTGGCTGTCTATTCTGGAACTTATTCTGTAAAACAGGCTGGCCTCAAACTCACAGATATCCGCTTGCCTCTATCTCCCAAGGGTTGGGATTAAAGGCGTGCGCCAACACTGTCCAGCTGAGTGAATTATTTTTAGAGACAGGATTATAGTATGCAGCCCTGGCAGGTTTCCAACTCACTATGTAGCTGAGGATGACCTTTAACTTCTGATCCTCCTGCCTCTACTTCCTGAGTGCTGAGATTACAGGTATGAGCCATCATACCTGTTTTATGCAGAGCTGGGGATGGACCCCAGGGCTCCATGACTGCTAGGCAAGCACTCTACATACCGCTACATCCACAACACCCTGAGTGAAGTATTTCCTGGTTCATACCTACTATTTAATGCCAGCTCAAGTCTGGCTTCTTTGGTTCTCCACTTCTATTTTCTGTCCCGCCCCAATAATTTACCTGCTACTTTACTTTATTTTTCCTAAAACTTTACAGTCCCAGTCAGTGAGCTCCACTTTGTTTCCACTTCCCCTTCAAGCTTCTCCTCCCATCAATCTTCCCAGTCCACAAACCCTGCCCCACTCAGCAGAATGACTCTAAACCCAGCACCTTAATCATGCCCTGCCCAGCTTTCTACCTTTTCAAATCCCACTTATCTTGCAAACTTAGTACCACTAAAGTACCACTTGTCCATCACTGATGCTCAAGCACATTATAAAAGGAGTGCGATTAACAGCCAACATTGGCAGGTGCCAAATAATACACCAAGCACTTCACTGGACCACATACCAACAGTCTTAAGAGGTAGCTACGATTATCTGTAATGTGAAAACTGTAGCTTATGGACAGTAATTACTTACCTAAGCTCTCAGAGCAAGTAAATTCTCAGACCAGGACCTGAAGCTAAACCTGTCACATCTCCGGACAAGTTCTTTTTCTAATTTATGTTTTTCTTTTCCCAGCACGAGTGTGGTATGCCTGTGTGTGGAGGCCAGGGTTGACAGTGGATGTCTTCCTCAGTTTCTCTCCACTTTACTGAGGCAAGGGCTCTCACCTGAAACCAGAGCTGGCTGGTTCAGCTAGGCTTAACTGGCCAGCTTGCTTTGGCGATCCTGTCTCCACTTTCTCAAGGTGGGGGTTATAGGTGCATACCCTTCACCTGGTGTTTGACATGGATGCTGGGGACCCAAGCTCAGACCCTCATGCTTGTGCAGCAAGCACTTCACCAACTGAGCCATCTCCCCAGCCCCACGTATCAATATCATTATTAGTCTTGTAGTGCTGAGGATCAAATGCAGGCTTGGTGCAGGCTAAGTAAGTGCTAAAACCCCTGCCCAAACACTCTTTTAAGAAACATGTATGACAGGAGGATCAAAAGTTCAAGATCTGCTTGGATTACAAAGTGAGTTCGAGGCCAGCCTCTGTCTCAAATGAAAATATGAGCAGGTGTGGTGGCACAAATGTAACCACAGCACTTGGGGAAACAGAAGCAGGAAGATGAGGAGCTCAATGACATCCTGGGCTACACGAGACATCTTAAAAGTAAAAAAAAAAAAAAAAAAAAAAAAAAAAAAGAAAAAGAATATACAAACCACAAAACAAATACAAAAAGGGTGTAGTGGCATAGCGCATGAAGCCTAAGGCCCTGGGCTGAGTCAAATAATACCTGATTGAATTTACCATGTTATTATTTTTTTTTTATGTTCACTCTCCATCCCATATTTCTTCAAATTAAACAAATTAACTTATGAAACTGAGAAAAGTTTCTGGGATTTAGCAGGCACAGGGGCAGGTTTACTTTTTAAAAGAGAACTTAAGGGCTGGGTGATGTAGCTCCATGGCAGTGTGCTTGCCTAGCATACATAAGGCCCTAGGTTCAATCTCAGTAGAGCAAGCTAGAAAACACCAACAAGCCAGGTGTAGCGGAGCATGTCTGTATTCCCAGCCCTTCAGAGGTGGAGGCAGGGTGATCTAGAGTGCAGGGCCAGCCTTGCCTACAGAGTGAATCTGAGGCTAGACAGGGCTACTTGAGAACTGGTCAGAAAACAAAAATATTAAAAAAAATAGCAAATCCAAGAGATTTAATCATACATTATAATTTTCAGTCTGCATAAAAGATTAGCAGTGGAAGAAATACCCTAATAGTGAAGGGAGCGTGGGCTGGAACAAATGAATTATATCCCTTCCAAATAAGATGTCACACACCTATTAAGTGAGTTACTAACCTCTCTGGTTTCCAGTATTCTTATCAGCAATGAGGGTAGGGAGAGGCAGAACCTTTGGGGTTCCTCTGAGAAACATATTCTGACATTATCAACTCCTTCAGAAAAGATCACAGTCCAGCAACCAGAAATCACCAAAGAAAAAAATAAATGACTTTCTAATGAGAAAAAAACTCGGTGCTCCAAGTTCAGTTTATTTCAATGGTTGTTTTCTTAAAGCCCAGTATTTCTTCTATGGCACAGTCTTACGAGTTTAAATAAATGATCTTCTAGTTTTTAATATGAAAAAGCTATTCTGGTGTGGTGACAAGTGCTGGTAAGCCCAGCACACTGGAGGCGCTGGCTGGAATTCCAAGGTCAGCCAGGAGTTGAGAGACCCTATTATTTTTTTTTTAAAGGATACTTAGAGAATATTGATACCATTGCCGAATGAAAAGCTAAGATTTAAGATTTAGTACACTGACTGGCCTGGTGGTATTTAAATACAGCATAAACCATTTGAAAATTTTTCAAATGGAGAGATTAAATAGGGAATTAACAAAAGATAACAGTCTTTAGTAGTAGACGTCTCTGTGATTCGAGGAAGGCAAAACTGAATAAAATAATGAGTATGAGTAAGGATCTGTGTATGTGTAGTAATCCGAGAACACACACCTGAAGAAGCCATCTGGATCAAATTTCACCATAGAGTCCTTGTAATAAAGCTATTTTTCCCACATTTGGCTGGCTTTCCTATAACTTCACTTGTGTAACTTGTGGTTACAATGAATTCTTCACAATTCAACAAGTATTTATTGACTGCCTCCAATCCGCCTAGCACTGCTCTGTACAATAAATGCTTTCTTTGGTCCTGGGCCATGGAACAGACACTCTTTAATCAAAGTGTGTGTGTGTGTGTAAGGAAGGGGGGGAAGGAAGGGGAGTGTCAGGTTAAACGGTTTGATCTTTATTTTTCAGTTACATTTGACCAACTTCACTCATTTCAAATTTGGAAGAGCCTTTTTGAGTAGAGGTAGCTAATTTTACGGATAATAAAACTGACAATTGGCAAATGTCTTGTCTCATTCAAGGTCATTAAGCTAATTAATCTCCTACTCCCCCTACGTGATTCCCTGATAGCCTTCACATCTCACCCACTTCAATCAAGCAAGGTGAACTAAAAACTATTTTCTAGACAGCACGTTTAAAAATCTTAAACCAGGAAGCGCTTGTGAAGCATTCCATAAAATCGAGAGTCGGTTGTTAATCTCTATTAGGTTTTTAACCACTGTCAAGCTTCCAGCGCTTTCGCTCAATGCTGGGAGGTGGAGAGACAGAAAAGCAGGTGATCTGGAAACATCGGCGGAATCTCAAAACGTGTGCAGAGCTCAAGGTCTTCCGCAGCGTTCATCTACTTCAGTACTAGGGCCCGGGAAGGACAGCAATAAAACGAAAATCACACAAACACTTTTTCCCTGCAATCACAGCAAATGACGACGGAGGGAGTGGGAAAAGAATGCAGACACAAGGATCACGTCCACTCGTGATCTCGTCCTCAGAAACGTCATACGAAGACGATGACACAAAAGGGTTCCCCACTGACCCCAGGGATTCCAGCACCCCGGAATCCGGCAGGGCTCCTTTCCAAGCCCCCCGGGTGGTCACACGGCCCACCCTCGCGGCCCGCCCGTCCTCGCGAGAGTCCGCCATGAGACTCACCGTGAGTCTCCGGAGTGGCCTGGGGACACCGAGCAACCAAGCACGGCTGACTCCCGGGCTCAACCCGGTCGAAGGGCACCGCACACCAACCTAGGCCCTCCCAACGCCTCGCCACAGACACAATGAGTCACAAAGACCGGAAGTAGGTCAGCGCCTCATCTTCCGGGACCCCATCGCGTTTCCGGGTCTTCTCTAGGAACGCGGGAGGACTCTGCATCTCGGTTTCTGAATCTCTTGCCTTGGGGTTCCCCCTCACCCCACCCCCATTCCCACCCTACCCCGAGGTCCTGATTGTCTTCAATTTCGGAGGCGAGAGATGGAGATGATGTAGTGATCCTGTTCAGGTTTTGTTTTGTTTTGTTTTTCTGTTGCAGTGTCTTCAGCTCTATATTTGTTACTTTCTCCCCGTCTTTTCCATCTTAGGTAGTAATTACAGTTATTACCAAGCAATAATAATAGTAATTGTATGTCTGTGGCAGAGGAGCTGAAGGAAGGGTGTATACAGAGGAAGATCAAAGTGAAGCCAGGAGTGGCTGGTTTCATAAATCCGCCCTAGTGAGGTGTGCCAATTAAGTGCATGGTGTTTTCAAATATTTGGCCCGTGGACAAAAGGCTATCTTTCTGGTAAACAAGCTACTTACAAGGGTTCAGAGTTTTGCTCATGTAGAGTATGCTGTTATAACAGTTTACAAGGATTTTTCAGAGGAATCAGACACTCTTCTTCAACGTGTTTTCCTAACCTACAACAATTACCGCCTTCATCTCTTTGCCTTGTGGGCAAAGCGGAAATAAGACTACATTCCAAGATAAAACACAAGAGAGAAACCATACCCAGAAGCTTGAATGCTACAGCTTGGGGGAGATAATTTCATAAAAAGCATACTCCAAAACTAAAAAGCAATTGTAGTACCGTTAAGGAAAGATTTCACCCAACAAGAAGTCAGCCGTTCACTCAGAGAATTAGGAGAAATCTTTACTCATGCATGGACTGGAAAGCAGACTTGTGTTCTGACGGATCCAGCCCCCTCTACATTTTCTTGCAGCTTTTTACGGGTCAGGCAGCAAGGTTGTCATCCCTGTCTTCGTGAACAATTTGAGAGTGGCCTCTGAGTCACTTAATCATTAAAGGGAATTTAATTAGGTGTGTTTACAGGGACAGATAGTTACTAGGTAGATTGTAGCATACAAATACTTGGCAGGTAGCAATAAAATAAATAGGCATTTGCAAATAACAACACATTTTGGCTGGTAAAAGTATTTTTCTCTTAGCAAACAGAAATGTTATCTGCAGCATGACCTTTGTCTGCTGGGACAAACTCCCTTTCAGTTTCTGGCAAGTGTTTGCTTTTCCCAGATAAGAAATAGGTGTTTTTTTTTTTCTTTCAAGTAAACAGGATTTCTAAGTGAAACTCAAGCTCGCTTACAGGTTTTAGGCTAAGGCTTTTATTAAGCTCTCAAAATATATTCATATCACTTCCTATCAGTACCATGAAAGGAAGCAGCAAAACTGAGAAAAATAACAACCCATAATCCCTTAAACTTAATACAACTGCAGCAAACTGAAGAACCATTTTAGACTGACTTTATTTTATGCGTATGAGTGTTTTGCCTTTATGCAAATATGCATGTGTATAATTTGCATCCCTAGTACCTACGGAGATCAGAAGAAAGCATCTGTATCTCCTGGAACAGGAGTTAAAGGTGGTCGTAAGCCTCCATATGGGTGCTGGGAACTAAACCAAGCTCCTCTGCAAGAGTGACCAGTGCTCTTAACTTTGGAACCATCTCTCCATCCTAATAGATGGCAAATTTTTGGAGGTTTTGCTAGGTAACCCAAGCTGGCCTGAAACTCAGTTTCACCTTGATGTTGTCCCAATTCTGTTACAATCTTTCACATTTATTCAGGAACCAAGGGATTTACCCCAGTAACTTAAGAGAACTCCTTGCCCTATTGATGCTGCCTGACCATATAACCTTAAATCAGTTCTCATCTCTCTCAGTTGCAGCCACTAGGAAATGAACATTGCAGTCTCCTTTTCTCTAGGGTATTGTCTTTTTAGGGTTTCTGTTGCTATGACAAAACACTACGGCCAAAAAGCAAGCTGGGGAGAAAAGGGTTTATTTGGTTTATACTTCCACATTGCTGTTCATCACTGAAGGAAGTCAGGACAGGAACTCAAATAGGGCAAGATCCTGGATGCAGGAACTGATGCAGAAGCCATGGAGGAGTGCTGATTACTGACTTGCTTCTCTTGGCTTGCTCAGCCTGCTTCCTTACAGAACCCAGGACCACCAGCCCAGGACCACCAACTTACAGAGGGTTGAGTCCTCCCCGATCAACCACGAAATTGTCTTACAACTGATCTTATGGAGGCATTTTCTCAGTTGCTGTTCTCTCCTTTCGTGTAACACTTGTTTGTGTGTCAAACTGACATAAGACCTGCCAGGCCAGGTGTGAGCAAACACCTGTGAAAGCCAGCACTTCTCCTGAGGTGTTCATAGAGCACCTAGCAGGTGTGTTTTTGTGTGTGTTAACATGCATCCCAGGCCTCACATGTATATACATGTGGGTGCAGGTGTCGATGGAGGCTAGAAGAGGGCCTTGGATCCCCTGGAACTGGAGCAGTTATGAGCCTCAACGTGTGTGTTGGGGTCCAAACTCTAGTACTTTGCACTAACAACCGTGACTCTTAACTGTTATCTCTCCAGTCTTCTGTGTCTGTCTCTTTGTTGCTGTCACTGTTGCCCCCACTTAAGCCCACTCCCCAACAATGCAGCCCTGACTGGCCTGCAATTCATGATCCTTTTGCTTCAACTTTTGGAGTGTCTTCGGTTATAGGAGTGTGTTCCTGCGGCCAGTTTCAGATAGGGGAGGTTGTAATGAGATGATGAGGGTGGTCTCTAATCCAGCACGACTTGATGTCCAAACAGAAGAGGAGCTGTGAATCCCTTCAGGTGCATGGGAAAGACCATGGGAAGGCAAGCAGAAGAAGACGGGCATCTGCAAGCCCAGGGGAGTGTGAAACACCATTTGGACTTTCAGCTTCCTTAACAATGAACTGACAAAATGCGTGCCAGTGGAGCCCCAGGAACTATCAGCAGCCCTAGCAAGCTACTGTGCTTCTCTGAGTGTACCTGTGGTGGTCGTCATTGCCAGCTCCACAGGATTTAGAGTCATGCAGGAGATTGGCGAGGCGCACCAATACAGTCCCCAAAAAGATTAACTGAAGCGGGAAGACTCATCTCAAATATGGGTGACACCACCCATGGTCTGGGGGACCTAGATGCAATAAAAAGGGGATCCAGGAAAGACAGTTGAATTCCCGATTTTTTCTCTCTGTTTTCTGGGCAACGTGTTGGAGACAGCTGTAAGAGATGCCAGAAGCTTAAGGACCACTGAGACTTGTTGACATCTCTTATATTCCAGTTCCAACCTCACTAGAGTTATAATTTATAACTTAAAATCTGAACTATAGGTCTGGGGTTGTGGTTCAGTAGAATATTTGCATAGACTATGTAATGCACTGAGAGTTTCAGGCTGCACAAGGAGACCCTGTCTCAAAAGAGCAAACCTCATCAAACCAAACAAAAAGCAATTGAAAATATCCTACAAAAGTTAGCCAGGTTTCTGCTACAAAATAATAGGTACAGAAAAGGGAACAAGGAACAGTTATTACTGAATACACAGAAATGCCTAAATATAAAATACAGGACAAACAGGGACAAAATATAAATAGTTGTTACAGATTTTGTTTGTTTGTTTGTTTTTAGACAGAGTCTCAGTACGTAACCCTGGCTAGCCTTATAAGATCTGCTTGCCTCTGCCTCCTAAGAGCTGGGATTAAAGTGTGGGATGCCATGATCCGCTGTTGACACAGCTCTTATTTCCATCATTTATCCTAAGATTGGCACTCTGTCTGAAAGATACAATAATTAAGTAACACTTTATATTTACATCAAAATAAATCCCAAAACAGTTTAAAACCTTCTCGGTCTACATAAAAACGTATAGGTAATATGAGAGAAAAGTCACGGTGTTATATACATTGGAGAGTGTGGATAATTTTTAAGCATGACACCCAAGAACTTTCCTTGGAAGCTTTCGTTGACTGTTGTGTGTGTGGGTTTGTGCACGTGAGTGCAGGTACCCCCTAAGGCCAAAGCAGGGCATCAGCTCCCCTAGAACTGGAGTTACAGGTGGCTGCAGTTGCCTGATGTGGGTGCTTGGAACTGGATGCTGGTCTTCTACAACAGCAGGATGTGCTCTGAACTGCTGAGTAATGTTCCAGCATCAAGCAGGTGGATTAAAAATATTTATTGTTGTTGTTGATGGTGGTGGTGGTGATGTGTGTGTGTGTGTGTGTGTGTATGCGTGTGTGTGCATGCAGGTGCATGTGTGTAGTTGCCAGAGGACACTCCTTCTACTATAAGTTACAGGATTGAACTCGGGTTACTGTCAGACTGGTGTAGCAAACACTTTCATCTGCTGAGCCATCTTTCTGGTCCAGGCAGGTGAATTTTAAAATTCAAATCCCTCTCTACTGAAGAGAATCCTCCACCTGTATCTTGGGCATATGGTTTGAAGAGGAGGTGTTATTTCTTCATATCTCTACCTTTCTGGATATAGGAGCTGGTCTGGAGGCAAATTTCTCATCCACACTGACAATTGAACCTTCTAACCGCAAATCTGAGTCACCTTGAGATTTGTTTAATAGTTATTTGTACATGAAATGAAGAAGTGCCCCTTACCTGCTTTTGGAGGCAGATGTAGCCATAGTGAGAAAATAAAGCTAACCGAGGGAGGAAGAGGGGGAGAGCTGGTGCCATTCAATTGCTCCTTCCTCTAAGATGACAGAACACCATTGCCCTTTCTGGTTATATGAGTTAATGAGTTCTCTCTCTTTCTCTTTCTCTTTCTCTCCCTCTCTCTCTCTCTCTCTCTCTCTCTCTCTCTCTCTCTCTCTCTCTCTCTCT